GTGCAGTGGGTTGACCGGCACAGTGGTGAATTGTGAAAGTAACCATGGATAAGGGACCGATGAAAAAACAACAACAGTCTTCACATTTATCGAATGTTAGCTGTTAGAATAGCACCCAACTTCGGGTTTCAAGTCAGCTCGCAGCTTTCGCAGCATCCAGTGCAAAATTGGGTCCCCAGTTCAATGAATTAGATCGGCTAAAACCGTTCAGATTACATATAACGAGGAAGAAATAATAATAATAATAATAATTAGTAGTAGTAGTAGTATTGTTATAAACAACCTTAAAGGCCATTTACCAATTATAATCAAAATATGTGAAATAATCACGAGAAAACTGTCGTTATCTGCCAGTGGCCTGGGCGGAGAATAAAGCGGGAAAATTGTTGTGCATGTATGGGTCCAAGGCAAGGCAATTCGATCAAGGCGGGCGAGGGAGGGGAAATCCCCGACAAAGATTTGTGTTTGCTGCTCCGTCTCCGTGACCAATCCGAGAGATGTACATTTCGAGCAAGAAAGTTTGTTTATTTGAAAAATGCATAAGATCGAGAGAAAAAACATTTGCCTGATGGTTGTTCCGGGTTGCGGGAAGCAGTGAGAAAACCACCCTGTTAGACAAGTGACAAGACCAAAGAGGACAAGCGTTTGCGATTTGATGATGTTACGCTGATGCTGGGAACCTCAATTCCAGTCAAATCACGTACAAAACACAACGGAGACCCCGTGAAATCAACCTGTCTGCGCTCTTTTTTCATTACACAATATGAATTACAGTAAAAGGGGAAATCCCCATGGACAAATAGCATACTGTAAAAGGGAGAGTAGGGGAACATTCACGTAAGATCTAGTTTATTGATTCTGCATTGAAAAAGTGTAAGATTGTAATTTGCGGGGAAAAACAGCAAGTGGTAGGGTGTTCTACAGCTTAGCGGTTCAAGGAAAAAAGGAAGATTGGAGTAGAGTAGTACAGCATCTGGGAAAAGAAATCTGATAAGGATGACTAGATGTCTGTGTACGAGATGAGCGAGTAAAAGTTGCACGAAGACGAACTGCTGAGGCAAGTTCCGAAGAACAAAAACCAAAGTAGTAGCGGTAGAACGGGGACAATGAAGCAACTGCCCGACGATGGAATAGTGACTACAAACTGGATGTTAGGGAAGAATCATCGATTATCCAGATGGCCTTTTGTTGAAAACGATCGTGAAGGGAAAGGGAAGAGAACGAAGCTCCACCCTACACATGGCTATAGTATTCAAGAGAAAGTCGAATTTGAGCTTTGTACAATAGAACATGAGCTCGGTTGGCGCGAAATAGATATTCCAACTTGCGTGCAACACGAGAAGTAAGCTTGGTTATAAAAGGGGACTAGCATAAAGAAGAATTTATAGGCAATCCGAGAAGGGAAACAGAGTCTGTGGAACACAGTTGGGTGGAATTAAAAGATAAATGAGGGAAGAATGAGTGGTGTTTTAAAGAAATTGGAAGGAGAGAGGTTTTAGAACTATTGAATGAAACGTGGTTTGCAATGCCCCAGGAGATGTTTGGGATCGGAGTCCAGTGACACATTAACTGCACTACGGTCACCATCGATGTTGGTTTGGGCATGGCGAGTAGTGCGGTAGGACAGGGAGCAGTGAAGGGTGGCGTCATCAGCAAAAGAATGGATCAGGTTGAAAGTTTGAGAAAGATCATTGATAAGTAGAAGGAAGAGGGTGGGCGCAAGTACAGAACCTTGGGGAACACCAGCGTTCACAGGGAATGGCTGAGACAGAACCCCATCAACTCGGACGGAGATGGTTCACCTACTGAGGAAACTTAATATCCACAGTTAGCAACCTTCGGAAAGATACCATGGATACCCACGGCCTAAGCAGGGCTGAATGCTACCAGGTGCGTCCCCGGGTTGTGGATAGGGGGGTACCATCACCGAAGAAAGCTAGCTGTGAATAAGTTGTGGCATACCGCAACAAATAAGCAGTCGCGAACAAACAGCAGTGGCA